GAGAAATTTATAGTATGGTATTGGGCATATGGGGTAATATCGGACTTATGGACTTGATGACTCTTTATATAAAGCTCTTACATGTATACATGAGTCTCCCTGGATTTGTTTCTCTAGTCTACCCGGACTAACATAGTTTGCTTTGGGTTTGGTTACTGTAAAGAAAGGACTTGAAGCATTTTTAATGTTTCAGAAGTAGCATGCACAACAAGTGAAGGTGATTGTGATTAAGCATTTGTTGAAATTCAAGAGGGAATGAATTTACCTAACATGAAAAGGCACGTCTGGGTTGGTCAACGAGCTGCAAACCCAGGGACTTATGTAGTGGTGGTAGTGGGTGGGGGTTGTGTGGGTCAAAAGTTCATGGGAAACTGGAATTAAAAGATAATGGAGCTTATAATCAGGAGCTCTGGTGGCATCGTGGATACGAGTTGAGCTGCTAACTGCAAGATCTGAAGTTCAAAACTATCAGCCACTTCTGCCTGTCTTATAGTGTCGTTATGAGTCGGCATCGACTCCATGGGCAGTGAGTTTGTTTTGATTTTTTAAAGGTTATAAAATCCCCTCCTCCAGCTGTCTCCATCCACTCTATTGCTTGCTTTGGCTTCCTATCTGGTCTTATTGCCAAGTGGGATCCAGGCTCTTCAATTCTCCCTTTCTCATTGGCCTAAAAACAGTGCCCTGGACCTTTCAGAGCCTAGCACCCACTACCTAGGAGCACAAGGAGTAAAACCATGGGGAGTTTACAGAGTTTACCCAGAACTGCAATAGCTGTGCTTCTGAGATCAGTACTTTCCACTCCGTACCAGCCATCAATTAGTTTAGCAAATTTCTTTTCTCAAATACAATGTGAACCAGTGATTCTTTGATATTCAGAATTCAAGGGCCAATAAAATTTCAACAAATAAATAAACTGGGAGGAACTACTGAAAAGTTTTTATCCTTTTTCTGTTAATTACCCAAGTCAGAATCAAGTTGACGGCAGTGAGGATAGTTGTTGTTGTGAGGTCCTCTCGAGTCGGTTCCTACCCATACTGACCCTGTGCACAACAGAACAAAACCCTGCCCAGTCCTGCATCACCCTCACAATTGCTCCCAAGGCTGAGTTCATTGTTTCAGCCACTGTTTACCCATCTCACTGAGGGCCTTCCTCTTCTTCCCTGCCCCCCACCCCCAACTCATCAGCATGATGTCCTTCTCCAGGGACTGGTCTTCCTGACAAGATGTCCAAAGTATGTGGTAACACACTGGGCTGCACCTTGCAAAGGTCTGCAGTTGGAAGCCACCATTGCTCCTTGGGAGAAAGACAGGGCTTTTCAACGCCTTAGAAACCTACAGGGGCAGTTCTACCCTGTCCTATAGGGTCACTGTGAGTTAGCACTGACTCCATGGCACTGGGTGAAGACAGGGGGACACTAAGAGCAAGCAAACAGTCCTGACCACAGTTGTGGGAGTGTCCTTGCTCCATTCTAATCACTCTCAGGGATAAGGATGCTGGGGGCTGGGGATGTTACTGCAGCGGCTGCTTCCCTGTGGTCACGCAGCAGCCACCACGGGCAGACAGGCTTGGACACTGGGCTGTGAGTGAGGGCCCACCTCACACTGGTGGGATACAGAGCCAGGGCTGCATTTTAAATGGAGTCAAAGCCACGTGGCTTGTACATTTCTATCCTGTATCTTCAGCATTTTGTTTCTGTTTTGAGACCACACAGCTTGAAATACTACAGAGGCAAAGATCACATAAAAAGTGTACCTTGAAAATGCTGCCATGTTTTAAACATTCACAATGGACTTGTGCTGCCTTCTAGAAAATTTATTTGGCATTACTGCACAGTTGTAAATAACTTATGTACCGTAACCTCATTCTCAGTTACGTTTAAAGAAGTGAAATGCAAAAAAAAAAAAAAAAAGCAAGCCAACGAAAGGTCCTATCTACCTTTTAGTCAAACACATGACAAACTATATAAAGTGGTATCTTCACAAACACAAACAAAACGTTACTACCCTGGTTTACCCACCGGAGGTGCCCATGGCCCCAGTCCCACCTCGCCATGCAGAGATGAAAACAAACCGCATCAAAGAGCTGGCACAAGAACACTAATCTACCCGGGCCCACACTCAATCACAATTAGGAGCTAAGTACGACCATCATTTTGACTTGACTATGCAGTTTTTAAAAATACCGAATCCGCAGCACTGCCCTGCTTCCACAGCGCACCAGACTAATACTGTGCCTACCAGAAGCTGGCTGAAGCAGAAACGTCCCCAAGTCCAGCAATTCAAAGTGTTAGGTGAGACTGAAGGAGAGAAGGTCTCCTCAGACCGGAAACTCCACTTTGGGGTGTGTGAAAGCCAAGAAACACTGGCGCAGCACCACCAGGCAATGACCAACCAGGTCATGGTGCTGGTTTTAAAGGTCTTTCATCAAAAAAAGTCCCCAGACCCATCTATACCGGGGCCTCTTCAGCCATAATACAGAACAGCCTGGCATTTGACGTGGTTTTTACAGTCATCAAACTGGGTCATACAAGTGGTAGCAACCCTCGGCTAGCACACATGCCCCCGATGCATTTCCGAAAGCTAAAGCTCTTTACCACCGACACTCGTAGCAGTGCCAAAGCCTTCTGTTAACGAGCGACAATCTGTAAACAGCACAATTTCCTTTCTTTCCAGAAAACCACTTCGAGCCAGCTTTCTCCTGAGAAACAGAAGACTTCATTCAACAAGGGAACTTCACCCAAATGCAGACGATGGCTGCCCGGCTCCGCATTTGTGATACGCAGGAGGGGAAACCTAGCTGGAGCAACGGACTCCCACAGGAAGTGACAACGTCACCACACACACTCCTCACACACACAAACATTTCACTTACGATGTTCCCTGCTGAGAATTAGAGTGGGTTTGCGAAGACGTATCATGTTGTTCTGCAGGAAGGAGAAAAACAAAATCAGAGAGGCACAATACCATACATTTATGATGTTATCAGTCAAACTCGGACACCATGATATCGATGAGACAGTTCTTTGCTGTTCCCGAGTTTTCACCTAAACCCAAACACCCTTGCCATCAAGCCCCCCTCCCTCATTGCGATCCGATCCAGAGACTATAAAATCTTAAAGGGGAGGGGGCTGACCTCTGACCCCTTCACCTAAAACAGAATCGTCAATTCTGTCAACTAGAGTGCTACCCACTGGGCTTTGCACAATTTCCTCATGACGAAATAACACTGATGTTACTTATAAAGGGTTTTCTCAGAATTACAAAACTCTCAGTCACCAGAAACGTTCTGACAAGCCTTGCTCTTCTGAGGAGTGAGGCAGGTATGCCAGCCCCTTCCTCCAGCCCCACCCCCAGCTCCAAACTAGTCCTCCTGTTCTCTCTATCCAAGAGGCATCATCAGACTCAGCCGCTTGGTAGGAAGGAAAGCACTGCCCTCCGGCTAGGCTAGCCTGCATCGCGTCGCCAGTAACCTTCCTTCTTGGTGCGGGGACGGAGCTGCTTTGGGAATCCCTGCGTCACCGCTGCTGTCATGTGGCAGCTGGCTGGGCTTCACCTACCAGGGAAGCTTTCACGCCCTTTCCACACTCTCTGTCCTTGGCATTCAGGGCTCTGCCGCCCACTGGCCCTTCAAACAATCAAGTTTCCTCTTTATTTGCTGACAGGCAACCCGCGGGCTACAAACACCCTCCTCCAGATCGCTCTTCCTGGCTCTTTGATTCTGGCCTCCAAGTGATTTCCTTGGTGGCTGACAAGTTGAAACAGGAACCAACCAACATGTTTACAAGGTGGCAGATTTTTAATGGTAACTAGAAGGGGAATTGTTCTGGGTGAAACTGGACTACATGGGGAAGAATTTGGCGCTAGGACGGGAGGAAAGCTTATGACCAAGTTGTGATTGCAGATAGCATGATCCTGCTGACAGTGAGGAGGGCTTACAACACTTGCTGATGCACATCAAGGATTGCAGCCTTCAGCCTGCTGACAACTCAATGTGAAGGAAACAAAAACTGGCAACTGAACCAACAGACACCACTGTGATAAATGGGGAGACGACTGAAGCTGTCCCAGGATTTCATTTTGCTCGGAAGCAGCAGTCAAGAGATCCAGCAAAACGCTGGCCAGTCCTGCACCTCTCTGTGTCTTCTGCTCCTCCCATGAATATCTGGTAGTGGATCTAAGTAGAATGATGTATTCCACTGGGAAAATCTACTGCACAAAACCGCATTTTACATATTCAAGAGCAAAGAAGGGTTAAAGGTTAAGAGCAAAGAAGGGTTAAAGGTTAAGAGCAAAGAAGGGTTGAGGGTTAAGTTCAGCCTGACCCTTGCCGCAGTGTTGTCCCTTCCCTCACAGGCCCGTGAGAGCTGGGCAATCAACAAGGAGAGCAGGAGAGAACGGATGCATCTGAATTGTGGCGCTGGCAATGAGCAATGTGTGTCACGGACTGCCAGCAACAAACAATTTGTCTCATAAGTACTCGCAGAGTGCTCCTTGGAAGTGAGGCTGGTGAAATTTAGTTATGCATAATTTAGACAAATTATCAGGAGAGACCAGTCCTGGAAGAGGACTTCATACTTGGTTAAGTTGAGGGACAATAAAAAGACCCTCAGTGAGATGGGTTGACTCAGTGGCTCCAGCCAAGGCCTCCCACCATAACAATGACGAGGATGGTGCCGGACTGGACAAGGCTTCGTTCTGGGGTCTATAGGATTGCTCCAAGTCAGAAGCAAATACGTGGCTGCTAACAACATCCAAAGGCAGGCTAAATAAGAACTGTGGGCGCTTATCGGACTGACCTACAAATTCCTGAAGACTCACCAAGGAGCGATCTCATCTGTAACCCTCGAGCTGCCGGGGTTCCACAGCTGTGTACAGCCGGCTCATCTGGCAGGGGAGAGAGCATGGTCCACAGGGTTTATCGGTATGTTCAAGGTATTTGGCCTTGTTTCCCAGTGAGTTTACAGATGACTGGGGGATATGAAGTGGGCACGAAAATAGTCCCAATCCCAGGCAGTGTGTGAGAAGGACAGAGACCACCACACAAACTGTCCCTGTCCTGTCCCAGGAATAGTCCCTCTAAAGCCAATGACCAAAGGAGGCAAATCAGAGGAGAAATGAAAGCGATTCATGGGTGATGGAAGGAGGGAGGGAGGGAGGGGTGGAGAAGGACTGTAGACAGCAGGCTCTGTGAGATAAGGTGGGGGAGAGGGAGGATCTGAAATGTCAAAGAGGCGAAAAGGGTAAGATGTGGGTGTGGCCCTGACAGACAGGTGGCAATTAGGGTTGAGAAGGTTTGGAATACCAGCCTGGGAAGTTGGGACTATCTGTTGGGCAATGCGATAGCATCATTGCCTTAGAGAGGGACATTCTTCAGTAAGATTAGCCTGGCACTGTCACCTGGGGAATCTGGGCCGGGAGCAGTCAAGGTTCAGTGTGGAGGCAACAGAAAATTGGTTGGGAATCCGTTTTATTTTTCTGGCACGAGATCAATGGAGCCTCAGATGAGACTAAAGTCAAACGAAATTAGGGTTCCACTAATGTCCTGTGGAAGCTTTGGTTTATTTGCAATGAGTCACTTTATCCTCATGGGGGCAGCAACTTTTATATGCTATTTAAAGCACCCCACTATGAAGCTAGACCAGAAGTACAAAGTAAGGCATTACCATCAGTCACAGGACACAGTGGTCTTGATTTATTAGGCAACCATGTTCAAATCAAAGCCCCTTGCTTCACTGCAAAAATTCCAAACATAAGTCCCTAATAAGATCATCGCTAAAGAAAGTAGACTATCCCCATACACAACGCCTGCGTGGCATTGCTATACTGATTGGCAATATCAGATTATATTTGCTGAATACCTTGGTGGTGTCATGGCTGAAGCATTGAGGTGCTAACTGCATGGCCTAAGTTCAAGTCCACCAACCACTTAGAAGGAGAAAGGTGAGGCTGCCTGACCCCGCAAAGGCGTTCTTGAAAACCCTGTACAGGATGGCTATTGGAATTGACTCAGTGGTTTACTGAAACACTATCCTCTTTGGGTTACAATCAGACATTCTAACTGGAGAGCTTTGTGCTTGTTCTCCCACCCATGCTTTCAGCATGAAAAGCTCTCGCTTTCTTCGGGGGCTTACCGAAAAAGAGCTTGCATATTAAAACAATAAAAATTATGCTTTGTTCTCCAATGCGATAATCAGTTCCAGATATGTACTTACTTTGATTTTGAGTTGCAGAACCGACATGCTGAGAATCCTAGAAGTAAAAATAAAAACCTCCAGTTATTGAAATTGAATTATAAATCTAAAGGCAAGGCTATATAGCTTTTAGCACTGAGCTTATAAGTGTTTAAATATATCAAAAAAAGGAAATAACTATGCAAGGAATATCCATATAACACACCAGATTGTTTGTACAATTAACATTTTTTAAATGATTTTTACCATATAGCTACCTCTCTTTCTATCCGTTTATCAATACAATTTTGGATACATGTCAACATAGGGTAAGAGCACTGATCAGTCTTCATTTTCACATAAAATAGCTCTTATTGTGCCTACTGTGCCCCAGAGTTCATTTTTCTCTCGACACTAAGCAAAGACATATTTACAGTTTAATGCTTTACTTTAAAACCAGTCATAGGGAATCTTCCCCCTTTAAAACATTTTAAGTATCACTAGAAAGTGCCTACAATACCTCATTTGTGGCAAATTAGACTTTGCATAGAGATAATGTCTTCTGAATAAAGCATCAAGGAAAGGAACAGTTGTAATACATTAAAGATGTGCGTTTACACAGATCTGAAGCTGTAAAGTCAAAATCCTGATGCTTATCTCAAAGCACAAACCTCCAAAATGGAATATGGCAGTATTTTTAATACACTGTTCTCAAACCCTGTACTGTTATGTAAACAGGTAGATGAGCAGTTTGATTACCTGCTATTAACCCAATCGTGCTAAACTTCTAAAGCGTTAGGAAACACAAGAAGCATGACACATATGTGTATGCACAGAATCCCTGGGTGTTAACAATGGTTTACAGGCTCAGATGCGAACTGAAAAGCTAGAGGTTCAAGCCCACCCAAGGGTGCCTCAGAAAATGCCTGACATGGAACCTCTGAAAAAATCAGCCAATGACACGCTTTAGGAGCACAGCTCTGCTGGTACACGTGGGGATGCCATCCGTCAGAATGACTCATGGCAACTGACTGGGGCATGTCTCTAAATTCTGAACTCAGAAACACACTAGCTACTGTGACTAACTTCCCTGTGCCTCAAGGGCCATCTCTAAAGTACAGAAGGCTCAAAAGAAAGAAATAATTGTCTTGGACACCTTCATAGCTATAAAGCCCTGTGCAAATCCAAGATGCTTTCATGAACGTAACTTGGAGAAAACAATGCGTGACAGCAGTTTTTGAAGGACTTTTGAAGAGTCCTGTTGGTACTGCCGGGTAAGCATGGAGCAGCTAACCATAAGGCCAGCAGTTCAGACCCACCAGCCACTCCCGCAAGGAGAAAGGTGAGGCTTCCTGCTCCTGTAAAGGTTTCAGCCTTTGAAACGCTTCATAGTAGTAATGTTGTAAATCTAAATCGTCTGGATGGCAGTGGGTCTGGTTTCCCAGCAATTTTAACCTAATCTCCAGAGATCTCAACAAGATGTTCATCTATTAATCCGGTCCACAAATAACTTCAGACTTTTTTCACGTATGTGGGTGCAGTGCCTGCTGTACTTTTACGGAATTACCTTGGTGGGAAAAGGAAATTTAGGAGGCTCAGCTGTACTAGGCGTATGTATTGCTGTCAAGGGAGGAGGCCATGAGTGGGTCATTTCCTGGAAAGAGATTTAAGAGGGAAGAAAAAGTGAATTATAAATGGAACACTCATTGCTACTTAATTTAACAAACTTACTGCCGAGTGGATGGGTGGTAAATGAAAAGTGAAATTTTACAAGGTCTTTCATTTACTTGCTCTCAAACGCATGACTCAGTGTCAAGAGCTGACGATCTCTGAGTTACACAGCTAAGACAATCAGTTCAAACAAGAAAAACAAGAGCTTAGACGCAGGAATGGGTGTTTAAAACACTGAGTATTGTGGAGCACATCGCTGTAATGGCTACTGCCAGGGCTTATGCAACTGTGAAAACAGCAGGCTGGGCTGGGCCGGGCCGTGCTAGAGAGAGCAGTCTGTACTCAACTGGCCGCCTTCTTTCTCCCTCCGCTTCTTTTACCGCATTTCCTGGAATTATTTAAGTTCAAAGGAAGAAGAACTTTCCTGTTGGGCTTAAGCAAACAAGTAATTCAGGTTGCTTGTTCCACTTGGGAGAATCTTAATGGATTTGACCCTTCCCTGATACACACTAAAAGCACAGGAGAACTTTACAAAACTACTGTCCCTTTCTATGGGCAGAGGTCAGCTTTTCTTCACCATTTTCTTGGTTAGAAGCAAGGATTCTAAGACTTTCAAATTAATATCTAAGCATGTATTCTTTTTTCTAGGCCCGCTCATGAATTTTTATTTTGCTTTGCTAAACTAGTGGAAAATAGACATGTAGGATAAAGAATGTCCTAATGGAAAATACAGACACACACACACACACTTTTAAAAACAAAAAGAGCTAAATTGGCATTGGAGATCATCATAAACTCCAGCCTCTTCATTTGAGTTTGAAAACTGAGGTCTGACATGACTGGATAAAGCATATCCACCCCCACCCCACTCCCACCCCCACCCCCGCTCTACTCCTGACCCCAGGGAACCAAGGACTGAGTCCATTTCCAAACTAGCTTGAAGATCAGCTCTCTACCACAAAGGTCATGTACTTAGCATGGAGAACCATGTGCACACAGGCGGTGGCTCAGAGCTCCTGGGCAAATGGAATGAAGAGGTATGAGAATTTTCCCATGAACTGTTTGCATAACACGTTTTGTATTAGGGCTGCTTCTTTCCAAGGTGCTGCGGAACTTCTCTACTGCAGGCATGTCCTTTGCAGACTAGAGCCAGGGTTCTTTCTAGCAAGTACTTCCTCTGCCAACTCCTCCTCTGCCCTTTCCCACTATCACTCTCTCTCAGAGGGGGGGGGATAGCTGCAGGATACACAAAAATAACTTGGCGCCGTGACAAGCAAAAAAACCGATGGTGCCTTTCTTGGGTCACTTCTGTTGAAGGTGAAATCATGCCCTTGTCTACTGACTAGCCATTTGCTTTACTTAGTAGCTAAGAAGCGTTCTACAGTAAAACATACTGGGCTCTCCACTAAAAAAAAAAAAATGCAACTCTGGAGTCCTGAAATCCTTAACTCTGTGCACCAGCCTTAACAGAACCTTAAAACCAAGTGCCCTCGAGTTGGTGCCAACTCATGGCAACCCATATGCATCTCAATAGAACTTTGCTCCTTTGGGTTTCCAATGGCTAGTTCTTGGGAAATCAGTCACCAGTCCTTTCTTCTGAGGTGCCTGGGTGAACTGCAAGCCCTCTCAACCCTTCAGTTAGCAGATTCCTGAAATACTGTTTGTACGATCTCATAGATTCTGACTCGTGGCACCTAGTAGAAACTGATGTGCCCTTTGGAAGCAGATAGCCTGGCTTGGGTAGCCTTACAGGTGCCGCCAGGTGAGCTCAAGTTGCCAACTCTTTGGCTATTTTAGCCAGCAATGCCACTGATGAACTAACACCGCTTATTTTTCAAAACGTTGTAAGGCTACTTTATGTCGACTGCTTTGATGGTGCACACTGTCTGCTGGTTTCCCTGTGGCCTGCGCCCTTGGTTCTGACTTGTATCCGCCCTGGAAGGCAGAAAAGAACTGCTCCATAGGGTACTGAGACTGTGATCTTTGTGGGTGTATACTGCCACACCTTTCTCCCAGACTGGCTGCTGGGTTTGAACTGCCAGCGTTTCGGATTAGCAACCTCGTATGTATTCACGGCCTCACCAGGGCTCCTTGCCAAGTATACAAAAAGCATTTAATAAAGTGACAGTGTTAAAATTTTTAAATAAACCTAGTTTTCAAAGAATTCAATACTGAACCTATGAGTCGCTTTTTTTGTGACTATAATTTAAGATCTGAAACCATTATAACACTAAAGTGGGAAGAAAAAAAGTAATAACTGAGAAAGTGTTTAAAAACATCATTGTTATGTTCTCCAGGGATTTCTTTATTATATTAGCATCAATGGTACCTATGGCTTTTAAGTCACCAATTATTTCCAAGCAACACGAATTACATTCGTAATGCCTAAGACCGCTCAGCTATTCCACTAAGCTATTCCACTTAGAAAGCACACAATGTCAGGTACTCAAAGAACTTATGTTACGGCTGTTAGGTGTCACTCAGTTGGCTCCGACTCATACCCACCCTACGTACAGCAGAAGGCCACTTCCGGTCCTGTGCCCGCCTCATGACTGCTCTTAGGTTTGAGGCCATTGTCGCAGCCACGGTGTCCGTCTATCTTGTCAAGGGCCTTCCTCTGTTTCAATACCCTTCGATTTTACCAAGCATGATGCTTTTCTCCAGGGACTGACATATATAAGAACTTATTTAAGAACATATTTAAGTTAGTATTTAAGTTCCCTAAATGCCTAATTTAGAATAGTTCGGGTCTCAATAGAAGCCATTACTAGGATTTTCCAGGATCAAAAGCCCATGATTCCTGCCTTACCATGACTTATCTCACATGAATTTAGGCAAATCACTTGGCACCTGCTCAAGTCTTAACTTTCTATGCCCACATGCCCTAGCATCTGACTACCTCTGCCTCTTCCTTCTCTTTGCTCATTTCCCACCCCCTCCCACTTTTATATAATTGCCCATCCTTATCAATCCAGTACTCTGAGGAGAGAAGACATGTTTTCATCTGTAGAATCTTTATTTTCTATTGGAACTTTGAGCATTCGCAGTCAAAAGCAAAGTCCAGCCTAGAGCAAGCCATCAAAACACCACCCATGACAGCACCTCACACGTTTAACATTCAGGCACGCTCCAGTCAATTCAGACGCAGTCACCCAAGGGAGCTGACGTGAGTACCAGCAACAAGCTTGGAGTCCACATATGTAACCTCCATTCAGACCGGCTGGCCCCTCACTCTCTCAGCTCTAGCCCCCTTAACCTAGGCTGGGTGCCAGGAAGCTCAGGAGTGCACACAACTCTTTAAATGTCAGGCCAGCAGCCCTTCCACTTGCCTCTCACCTACAGACTCCACGGACCAGGTCAATTGGGTGCCAGTGGAACAGGTCCGAATTCAATGTCTGGTCATTGCTGCATCTGGCCCACTTCCACTCAGAAAGTGGATCCATGTGCAAGACACCAGGCTGCTCTTTTGCAAAAGCAAACCACTTTATTTGAAATTTTAAAAATCCAAAGAGTCAAATTTTACCCCTCTTGCAGGTCTTCCCTTCAAATATTAATTTTCTATTCTGTCAGCATTTCTGAGTGGGTCTGCTATCTTTTCCCCAAAAAAATGTTTATTAAAAGATCACTTTATTAGGGGCTCTTACAGCTCTTATAACAATCCATACATCAACTCTATCAAACATATCTGTACTTATGTTGCCAACATTATTTTCTAAACATTCACTTTCTATTTGAGCCTTGGTATCAGCTGCTCTTTTTTTCCTCCCACACCCCCTCCAACCTTCGTGACCCCTTGATAAATTATAAATTATTATTCTCATATCTTACACTGATCGCTGTCTGCTTCCCCCATGGTTTCTGTTGCTCATCCCGTGTGTGTGTGTGTGTGTGTGTGTGTGTGTGTGTGTGTGTATCATTGTGATCGGTTCCTCCTCTCCCCCCCCCCCACCTTCCCCCAACCCTCTGTATGTCTTTTCAAATGCAATTTCTCTGCTGAGGGTTGTAGGTGGGACTCCGGGTGTTCCACATGTGGCCCTAGCTCTCAATCTACTGGCTTGAAACAATGGTTCTTTCCCTGTTCTTCCCCAGAAATTCTTAAACCCCTGTTAGCAAACCCAATCAAGCAGAGACTGAATGTGAGCTCACACGCTCTCTGCCATCAGACCTAACAGCTATGTTACCACACTAGGTAGGAGAAACCAATATTCACAGAACAATTAGCTAATCCCAAACACATGATCCTTTCAGGAAAAAAGTACTCACTTTTTATTTTCTCCTCTTCATCCTGGGCTAGTCCATTCATAAACACATAGCCTTGGGCCTCTGGCAGGGCTTAAGCAGCAGGCTCTGACCCTAACAGCAGTCTCCTTTAACTAGCCTCGCTTTTCTTCTCCCTCAGCTTCAGTTTAACACGGCTCACATTCCTTTCAGCCATCAGAGGGGAAAGCACCAAAGCAATGTTCTCAGAACCTAGGTTTCCCGGCCGGTGCCCACGTTCTTCCTCTAGCAAAGCACCGTGCTCCTGTGGCAATGACCCTCACTTCTGAGACCAGCTGACTTCTTGAGACTCCAACATCTGCCCAGGGTCAATTCTTACATGGTAGAGGACAGGCAGGCCTCCACCTCCCAACCTTCTTGTATTCCTACTCCAATACTCCCTCCATGGCACTCTACTTCTTTGCTGGGTTAGTTATAGTTAATCCGCTACAAGAGCAACACAGAGCTCAGGGCAATACGATGCTCACACTTACAGGGTCATTGGGGAAGCTGGTCCGCCAGGAGAGAAATATTAAAGACAGAATTCTTTTGTCTGCTGTCTCTTGACAGCCATGCCCACAGGCAGGCCTCCCACTAGTCCTCAGCTTCAGCCACTCAGCCTACCCCTTGGCCTCTGCCCTGCTTGAGCCCGCATTACAAAAGCTCCTTCAATGCTGCAAGCCCAGGTCCTGCCCAGAGGCACTCAGCTCTACTCCTTCTGTGAGCTGAGAAGACAGGAGACTGTCTCGCTGTCTCTGCCACTACTGCTGAGACTTGTCCACAAAGGAGTCACGGGCACACACTGTTTCTGGCATAGCTCACTTTACACCCAGTGGAATGGGAACACTGGTCAATCCCCACGCTAAGCGTTTCATACACCCTATGTCAGAGGTTCTCAACCCGGGGGTCGAACAACCCTTTCACAGGGGTCGCCTGTTTCATAACAGTAGCAAAATTACAGTTATGAAGTAGCAACGAAAATAATTTTATGGCTGGGGGGGCGGTGTCATCACAACATGTGGAACTGTATGAAAGGGTCGCGGCATTAGGAAGGTTGAGAACCACTGCTCTGTGTGTATGGTCCCACCCAATTGTTTGGTGGGCGATACAAAGACTATAAATAGAAGAACCATATGCCAAATAATCTCACTTCAATGAAAGCTGTCTGCTATCTTCTTAACACTACAGGTCTGTCCCAGTTACAGGCCACCACTTCCCCCTTGTTGAAACACTTAGATCCTTAGTATTTCTCCCAGGGAAGCAAACAGTATCTTCCGTAACTGACGTTCTCTTGTAGGGAGCTGTTTACTGCCTCCATTGCCTGTCACAGAGGATCCGTGTTTGGATTCCTGGCCATCTGAATAAGTTGCTGGCACACCACAAGAATGGGGACTGTGGGGCTGAGGAAAGCAACTGGAAAAGCATCGGAGGGTGTGAGCTGGAACGGAGCCTAGCAATAATCCAATAGCCCGGCCCAGCCACCCCCAGCTTCCTAACATTGAAAACTGATGAGGAAACCGATGTCCAGGGAGAACACTTGACTTAATTGGGCGCACACACGGAGAGAACAGGGGCAGACTCTGGATCTCCTCCACATAAAGGCTTTACCCTCCTTAGGCCTGGACCGCTTTCCATTTGCTGTCTGTATCCATGATTTACAAATTAAAGGCTGCACCTTTTGCTTTGCAAGCATTTCCAGGCAAGCAGGAACTCATTAAAATGATGTTAGGTCAGAGAGAAGGGAAGATGGATGAATGCGTTATTAACCTAAATTTGTGTCTGATGCGCTATTAGTCATCTTCCTAAATAAAGGGTAGGGCGTATCATGTTACTATGCATCAAAATCTAAGAAAAGCATTAATATATGCAGAAGATGAGTCTATATTATTGTATTCACTTTCAAAATATTGAGAGCAAATCATTCACAATTGAAAATGACAGGGGCACATTCCATAACAGAGTCATTTATCATTCTTAAGACTATCTAAGAATTACAGAAACATAAGAGGTCAAGGATGCAACGAAAGCTCAAGTCAAGTAGCTTGCTTACTATTAATTTCATTAGCTGGTTGACAGAAATGTCTCATTCTCAACAGTTCAAAGTATGCTTCTTCAGAGGTGTCTCCTGCCCACCCCCCGGAAACCTTAACTACAAGAGGGTATAAAGAGTATAAAACAAAGATGGATGATGTAACCGTTTTCCAAATGTCCGCTTAAAATTTTTTTCCCAAAAATTTTGCAAGTGAAGTGATAAAAAATATTTTTTATAGCCACTAGTACTTAACATTTTATACTGTACAATTTAAGAAAACATTTTGAGGAAAAACTGAACAGTAGGAATTCTATGAATAGGCATACTTGTCCAATGTCTCTTACTTCCAAATTGTACAATAAAAGACACATCAAGAATTTCATTAAAGTTGACATGGAATAGCATTAAAAGCTGCAGAGAATAAATACAAAATCCTCAAGATGCTCTGTTACAATGACTATATTTGAAGATAAAATTTAGCCCTAGATTTCCTAGAAACTGCGCCAAAATGGGAAACATGATGGTTTACACAATTCTTCTCTGATTAAAAAAATTTTTGTAAAAGGAGCACGTCAGTTCTTGAGGAGAATTTGCTTTCCTGGAACTAACTTCTACAAAGAATTTGTCATCCGTGTGTGAGAAAAACTAGACAAATGGAAAATGTATTCAGTGCTCGCTTCGGCAGCACATATACTAAAATTGGAAAATGTATTCAACAGCGTATTTGTTTGAGGAAAATGTTCGCGACAGGGCCTCACTTAACAAAATGATGATATTAACAATAATGGTGATCCTTCAAGGTAGGTTTAAAGAGATCTATTTCCTTCCACTGTTTGGGGTACCTTATTAAAAAGATGTTCCCACTGAAGCAGCAGCTACACAAGGCATCACGTACAAAACCCCGAGAGGCATAACTCCACTACCACAGAAGCCCATGGTGCCTTCCATGCAACATCAGGTCAGTTTCCCTTCTTGGGATGGAAGCAAATCTATGACGCCTTTATGAACCACTGAAAAATCTTCAGGAAGATGCCGCCATGACTTAACATGAACCCAAGAATACTTACCATGAAAACTATGGTTTCGATGCCTTGCATTCATTAGTATTCGTTTAATTAAAGAGTCTGTCAAAAAAAAAATTCAGGGAGCCCTGGTGTGGAGTGGCCACAGGTCACGCTGCTAACCACAGGTCAGCCGTCTGAAACCACAGCCCCTCACGGGACAGAGCCGAGGCTTTCTCCTCCTATAAGGAACTGCAGTCTTGGAAACCCACAGAATCAACTCTATGGCAGTGAGCTCGGTTTTTTTTTTGGGGGGGTGGGGGCGTCAAAAATGAAAATCAGGAAGGTCTAATGACTGCCTTTGCGCTCCGTTATGGTTCACTTCGCATTTGGAGGGCTGAGGGAAAATACGAGTTCAAAGAGCTTGGTAATGGCAACTTTTCAGAAAGCGAAAGCAAACGGACCTTGTCTCCTTGATTATGTCTGCAAATGACAAACAGCAAGAACAGACTCACCTTTAGAATCTCTTCAACACAACGGACTTCATTGGAGTAGGTCTGCTGAAAGGGGGGAGCGAGAGAGAGGGGAGGGGAAGACTGGTGAGCAAACAAAAATCATTTGAGAGACTGGCAGTGAGTGACCTGTGGCAACACAACAATGCCTTCGAAGCCCCAACCTTGACCACTCCTGCTGCTGATGAAGGAGGACAACAGTGATTAAACCAACTTAATCGAGGGGGAGCACACTGCTCTGGGGGGTGGCAGACACCTTACAACTGGAAGATAACAGCAAACTGATTATAGCCCACAGGTCCCCCATGTTGTAAGGGAACCTTGTGTGTGAGAGAGAACCAATGCAGTGGTGAATATAGGAGGATGGCAGATGTGGAAAAAGTGGAGGCAGACAGAGATAAACAATGGTGCCATGGTCAGCCACCTACAGCAGCATCTGACCCAGGAGCAAGTTACACACAAAGATGGCCACCAACTGAATGGCTTGGAGGCCCTTATATTAAGGAGGCCAAAGTTCAATCTAGGATCATTCCTTTCACCCCTTATTCTAACCTGCCAACAACTTAAGTGCATCTGCAAGATTTCCCCAGAGAAAGAGCCTTTGGGGAGAGGAGATCAACTGGTATTCTTTGTGGGAGGATCCTCTTCCTTATCTTCAACTCAGCCAAGTGTCAACCGCTGTGTGACTAAGATATGTCATTTGAAAGCTGATTTTCTGAATTGGGGAAAATAAAGTAACAAGAACTTGAACTAAATAAAGACAGTACTGGTACCCTGGTGGTGCGGTGGGCTCACTGGGCGGCGGGCTGTGCTGCTACTAGAAAAACCAGTGGTTTGAGCCTAATGCCTCACCCACAGCACTGCTGGTGCTGCTTTCAAAATGTGTCGAGAGCCACAAAACAACTGGCCAAACCTTGAGCTCTACTTTTGCACAAATATCAGAATGCAGAATTGAAGATTATAATGATATGAAGATAAAATAATTGCACTCCGTGGCTTCATTTTTAAAATGCAGGATTAGAAAAGTGACAGGTCGAAGTTAAGGTAAATTACTAGTTCAGCGTATAGGATTATACGGAATCTGGTCAAATAACCCCCTTGCCGGGCTCTCTGTCACTGAAAAAGAGTGACTCCCACAGGAGCGAGAACAGAGACTGCCTGCCCCGCACTCCCCTCAGAAGGAACGCAGACCCACAACTTCCTCCAAATGACTTCCAGCAGCAAGTCCTCTGCTCTTGTCAATTACTCAAGCAGTTCAGCCTTAACCGACATGTTTAGGTCACCCAATATTCTTTATTTTCCAAAAGCGTTTTGTTACATTGGATGACCCAGGTCTGAAGGGATTTTTCTAGTGTTTATTTTAGATGAGCAATATTAATCTTACCCAGATAGCCATAAAATCACCATTTAACCCACTTAAAAGCCTCCGGTTCAAGAGGCATATTGGTTAATGTAGTTGGAACTCCCATAAAAAGTTCAAAGTAGAGGAGGGGTGTCTCAAAGGGGAAACTGGGAGTGTAAGTGGGGTTCCAAATGCATAAAGGTAAATCGCATAAAAGGTTCGCAAAGCAGCATTGTTTAATAAAGACAAGCAGAAGTGATCGAATGTGTGACAAGAGGGGTCTTGCTAAATAGCTTCACAGTAGTATATCCATCCACTGGGAAGATGCTATCTATACTCACAACTTTTTCTCCAGAAATAGATTTGCACTTACAGAAAGCTTGCCCAAAAAGAGGAAGGATTCCCAAAACGCTGCCCTTGGATTCCCTAAATGTTAGTTAGCATTTCACCACAGTTACTTGATGTTTCAGACACAATACATTTGTCCCCCTGAACTATTTGAGAGTAACCAAGAGAGAGTATCTCTTTACTGCTAAATAGTTCTGTGTTCACCAAGATGTACTTTTACAGTCCACAGAGTGTGAGCCCATTTTATGTTCCACCTGCCTGAGATTCATATTTCTACTCTTTCTCCCTCGCAAAATGGAAAAGTCTTAAACTAGAGAGTATACAAGTATTTCAGGTGTATTTGCAGAGATGGATCTGTATGGAAATACTGCCCTGTTTTATAAAGTACAACTCAGGCATCCCGACTGACTTTGCAAGTGGGGCGGGGGTGGGGGTGGGGACAATTTGAGCAAACCATAATGACCTAATCCCTTCCTTGAAATTCACTTTCCCCAGAGGGTCTCCAGCTGACAGCTGCCACTCTAAATCCCCAAAGCCAAGCTCACTCCTTTTAACACTGTGCACAAAGAATAATCAATCCTGGCAAGCCGCTAAGATAAGGCCAGAGACATTAAAATAAGACTCTTTAAGAAAAAAGCAGCTTCGCGTTGGTTGATTGGCCAGCTGATTCTGATTCTGTGTGGCAAAGGAGAACTCCTCTCACAGGGGTGTCTTGACTATCATCTTTATGAAAGCGGACTGGCAGGTCCTTCTCCCATAGAGCTGAGGGTAGGTTTGAAATGGACATTTGGGCCAGCAGCTGAACAATTAGCCACTCCAACATGAGGGCTCCTTCCAAATAGCCAAAGCTAGCAATATGAAATAATCCTAAGAGTCGGATGAACTGAGATCAGGTTGGACAAACATAAAGACGAGATCTGCAGGTCCTTTCTTGTGTAGCTCTCCCTCAAGCAAACAGACGTTTACCAACGAGATACCAGTGGTCTCCCATCCTAAATACCCAGCCGCCTGAGAAGGGCTTTCCTTCTACAGATCTGTGACCACCTCATACAAGTCTAGTTTGATACCTGAAGGCAGCCCTCCCCAAAAAGACCCCCTTGCCCCAATTTGGTAGAGGATTAGCACAGGATCCATAATTCAATTTAAGAAAACTTGTTAGCATCCACTGGTTGAATTTTTATTGTACTTGACACTGCATTGAATTCTGTTGTTGTTGTTAAGTGTACTTGAGTCCGGTTCTGACTCATAGTGACTTATGTACAACAAAACAAAACACTGCCCAGTCCTGTGCCATCCTTCTAATTGTTATGTTTGAGCCTATCGTTGGAGCCACTGTGTCCATCCATCTATCTTTTGGGGGACCTTCCTCTTATTCGCCGCCCCTCTACTTTTCCAAGCATGATGTCCTTCTTCAGGGACTGGTCTCTCCTGATAGCATGTCTAAAGTAAATGAGACAAAGTCTCTCCATCCTTGCCTCTAAGAAACATTCTGGCTGTACTTCTTCTAAGACTTGGCAGTCCATGCTACGTCAATAGTCTGCCAACACCATAATGCAAATGCATCAATTCTTCTTCTGTCATCCTATTCCATGTCTAACTTCTATAAGCATATGAGGCAATGGAGAATACCATGGCTTGGACCAGGGGCACCTGAGTCCTCAAAGTAACATCCTTGCTTTTCAACACTTTAAAGATGTCTTATGCAACAGATTTATCTAATACAATGTGTCCTTCACCCTCTTGACAGCTGATTCCATGAGCATTGATTATGGATTCAAGCAAAACAAAAATCTTCAACAAGTTCAAGATTTTTCATGATGTTACCTACTGGTCTAGTTGTGAGGATTTTTTTTCCTTTACGTTGAGTTGTTATCCATACTGAAGGCTGCAATCCTTGATCTTCATCAGCAAGTGCTTCAAGTCTTCCTCGCTTTCAGCAAGCAAGGTTGTGTTACCTGTATTATCAGAGGTTAGGAGACTTCCTCCGACCTGGATGCCATATTCTTTTTCATATAACCCAGCTTCTCTGAGATCTGCTCAGCACTGAGGTTGAGTGAGTATGGTGAGAATATCCAACCCTGATGCACATCTTTCCTAATTGCAAACCATGAAGTAGTCCCTTGTTCTGTTTGCACGACTGCCTCTGGATCCATATGCAAGTTCTGCAGGAGCACAAGGAAGTGTTCTGGAATTCCCATTCTTCTCCAAGTTAACCACAGTTTGTTATGTTCCACGCAGCCTCTACATACTACTATATTCTCAATTTGATACCATCATAGCTTGTGGGGAGTGGGGTGGAGTCAACTACACTCCCCAGCAACTGTGTGTCACCCCTGGCACCTTTGTCAGAGAGTGGGCATCGGAGTCCCATGTGTTACAGAGCAATCCTGAGATGCACAGGATGCTCTTGCCTGTAATCCTTACAGAAGTATATTGCCAAGCCTTTCTTCCCACCAGGTGGGTCTGAACCCCCAACCACGCGCACCACCCAGGAACCTTTACATTCCAATTACAAAAACTTAGTGTAAAAAAAAAAAGGTATCTCTGAAGAAATTCCCTATCATAGCCCAATACCTCTACAGTAGGAATTATTCCAAAGAATGAGTTCAAGTCCCAGAAAAGTGAAGCAGAATGCCCAAGGCCACACAACAGCTTGCGAAGCAGCCACACCTGGCTTTATACTGCCTTCTCCAAATCCTCAGCTTTTTTAGGCAGATGTGAGCCCAGCTGCCCTTTGCATGGCCAAAAACAGTGTTTCAGAGAACAGCAGGTTTTCTGCTGCTCCTACAGAGCTGCATTTTTGGCATGTGACGCTAAGCGCTCTGACTTCAGCCCAGAAAAGGCAGCATGCATGGCCTCCATCTGACTCTTCACTCCTCTTGGAATGACATTGTGTCATCACGGGGAAATGCACTGATACCAAAATACAGTCTGTTAGCCAATGTCCTCTAAGCATAACATTGCCTGTTTTAATAGGCCAAAAGGGGCCGATGGAAGAGAGAGGCTTCACTGTGGAGACCTGGAGGCTCTTGCAGTGCTGTTTTAAAGCTCTCAAGTTTCAACAGAGCAGCATTTTTCTAACAATGCCATTCTCGAAAAGGCTTAGTTATCACTAACCAGGAAGCACAGGCAGCACGAAGCTGTATGTGGAGAGGGAAGCCAGGAGATGTTGGGTTCCTGTGTGGGCTCTGTGGAGGAAGGCTGGTCCTGTGCTCGTGGACACGTCTCACCCTCTTTGGGACTTATTACTACAATGTGATCAAGGGATAATTCTATCAATCCAACCACTTCACAGGGTAGCTCTGCGTGTCACGTGTAACTTTAAAACCTGTCAAAAGGCAATGACAAATAAAACAAT